GCCCTGGCGTGGCTCGCTGAACGCGGCTTGGGAGAAGCTCGCTTGCTTCGTAACACAATCGAAGAAGCTGCCGTGGCAGGCCGGCTCCGCTCGGGAGGCCTTGTTTTATGTCGGGCGTGTCCCCCAACACGGGGATTATCGACGAAAAATAAAAATACCCAAAAAAGTACCCCAAAAAGGTGAAACAAATACCCCAAAAATAGTCCCCAGACTATTTGTGGACTATTTTTTGACTATTTGGGGGGTACTTTTTATTTTTCGTCGAAAATCCCCCTGTATGGGGGACAGGCCCGACTTAAGCCTTGTCCAAGGGCACAAGCAGAAAGTTCACCCCAGGTCTGCCGGCCCCGGGCCTGTGCTCCCACGAGACGCCGAGGCCCCGACGGCACAGTCTCGTCCTGCAAGCACTCTCTCGTCCCAAGGGCCCCATCCATCAGGGCCCCCTGTTCGAACACACGAGCTTCTTGCTCTCTCTCTCTCTCTCGCTCTCTCGCTCTCTCTCTCTCTCTCTCTTCCTTTCTCTCTCTCTCTCTCTCTCTCTCTCTCTCTCAAGAGAGAGAGAGAGAGACAACAACAAAAAAAGAGGACCGACTGCCGTGCCGTTGCCTGGAGGGCGCCGGAGGGATGGGGTGCACCGCACCGCCGGGGAGCATCCACATCCACGAGTGCCAGGTTTAGGGGGCCACATGTGAACCCTACCCCTACCCCCCACGATTTCTGAGGGGGAGGATGGGGTTCACTCCATTCGGGAGGTCACGAGCGAAGTGAACCCCACCCTCCCCCTCAAAAACCGTGGGGGGTGTGGGTAGGGTTCGCTTGTGGCCCCCCAAGGTTCCTGCCCTGGGCCCTTGGAGAAGCAGCGGACGTGGAGGCTTCTGCCGCCCGCGCGGGAGGGCAGGCGTCCGCGGGCCCGCCACTCCTCGGGAGGCCCCCGAGATCCGGGGGCGCCGCTCCGAGGAGGCGGACGCGGACACCGTCTGGTGGTGGACAAGGCGCCGCCGCCGTCGTCGTCGCCGCCGCCGCCGCCGTCGTCGCCGTCGTGGTCGTCCGCAGCACCGACGGAGCCAGTCATCGTCGTCGCCGCCGCCGTCGCCGTCGCCGCCGTCGCCGCCTTCATCGCCGTCGTGGCTACTCGTCGTCGTCGGCACCGCCGTCGTCAGTGGCAGCCAGCCCCGCCGCCGAGGTGCCGGCCAGGCATCCGCGGGCGCGCGGCCCGCGCATGCCAAGAGGGGCGCCGGGCGCGTGCCGGCCTCACCGCGTGCACCGACATGGGCCCGAACATCTTCTGCATCGCGGGCGCGGCCTCGAACAGGGCGCCGAAGACCACCTCGCCCGCCGCCTGGCGCCGGGGCGAGAGCAGGAGGGCGCCAGCCGTACACCTGCACCGGCCCCAGCATCAGGTCGGGCACGTCCCTCCACAGGAGGGATATTGAAAACAACAGTCCAGAAACAGCCTGGAGGCGATGTTTCTATGATGCTGGACTATCTCTGAAGATGTTCTGACTGCGTTGCAAAGTTCTTCCAAAATCCGCCTTCAGGAGGACATGCCCGACCTTGCCCCAGCACGGCCCAGTCTGGGCTCGGGCTCGTCGTGCGCGCCCTCCTGGCTTGGCTGGGGGGGCGCACACACCGACCCTGGGCCGAGGATCCGCCTGGCCAGGGCTCGGCGCGGGTGCCTTGCCTGGCGAGGAAGGGCGACAGGGGCAGAGACTTCCGAAGGTCCGCACCGGCTTCCAGGGGCCAGCGTGGCGCCTCCTCCTCCTCCTCCTCCTCCTCCTCCTCCTCCTCCTCCTCCTCCTCCTCCTCCCCCTCCTCCCCCTCCTCCCCTCCTCCCCCTCCTCCTCCTCCTCCTCCTCCTCCTCCTCCTCCTCCTCCTCCTCCTCCTCCTCCTCCTCCTCCTCCTCCTCCTCCTCCTCCTCTCCTCCTCCCTCCTCCCCTCCTCCTCCCTCCTCCCTCCTCCCTCCTCCCCCTCCTCCCTCCTCCCTCCTCCCTCCTCCCTCCTCCCTCCTCTCCCTCCTCCCTCCTCCCTCCTCCCTCCTCCTCCTCCTCTCCTCCTCCTCCCTCCTCCTCCTCCTCCCTCCTCCCTCCTCCCTCCTCCAGGAGCGGGGGGTGGTCCCGTTCCCCCCCCCCTTGTTTTTTTGGGGTGGGAGTTGAACCCCCCGAACCCCTGCCAGCAGCGGCAGAAAGCGCTCCTTCAGAGGCAAGGATGCCAAGGTGCCCTCGGAAAGCCACTCATTCTCATAACCCTGCTTGACTGGGGCGCATCGTGATCCGAGGCATGCGCGCGGACGACGGGGCCAGGAGATGCGCCGAATGGAAAGAGGAAAAAGAAGCAGAAGAAGCGAAAGGAGCGGAAGAATAAGAAGAATAAGATGAATAAGAAGAAGAATAACAAGAAGAAGAAGAAGAAGCGGAAGAAGAAGAAGAAGAAGAAGAAGAAGAAGAACCCGCATCCCCCCTCTTGGACGCCCCCGGCAGGAGGGCGGGAGATGCCGAGTTC